GAATTAATAATTACCCCCCCAAACACCCATAAGTGGCCCCCCCCACATGGATGTTTCTCACATCCCCCCTTAAGTCCCGTAGCGTACTACGAACCAAATCAGACCTTATACACCATACCCCATTACCCTCTCCACAATCAATAAAATGACACATGATAATACATTTAATTTTACCACTCCTATTCAATAATTACCCCCATCTCCATCTTCGTCCCAAGCCTTTACATTATTTCATAATATTAAATATATATATAACGTGCACCATACATGCTATGTGTATTTAATGATACTAATTGCTATCACGTGTTCGTTCAGGCACGAATAAACCGTCCTGGCCTCCAACCACCCTGGAATCTAGTGGGATAGAGTAAGTCCTGACTCAAGAGTTTTTGTGCCAACAGTAACTTCATGTGGAAGCGGAGGTGTAAGGTTAATATGGTACTCAACGCTTATCGTTTAATTAGACCGGATAGTCCCAAGAACGTTTACTTTTATATTTATAAGGTTTGATCTGAGGAGTACACCCTGTAATTGGACTATAAGCCCTATTGCTATCATCAAATGATGAGATACAAATAATTATACCATTAAGCTGTGCAAGCCCATCTATCATACCAAGAAATAAGTCGTAGTCCAGTATACTAAAATTATGTGTTTATCTTACATGGATGCGACTATTTGAAAGGCCCCTTATATACAATCCAGTCCTAATTGCCTGTAGGACCACAATCAGTTAAATAATTTAGTAAAATTTCCCTTATAGATGAAACTTATGAAGTGTACCTTCAAGTCCTCAAGCCCTTTAGCTTGGCATTTTATATCATAATTAATATTTGCTGACCCCTATAGAGAAGACGTCTTAACCTACCTACCGACAGAATGTTCCACAAAGATCCATAATGTAGAACATTAGTCACATCTACCCTTCAACTATTGTCCACCGCCTAACTGAAAATTTGTTTGAGGGTGGCCATATTAGATACCCCCCCCCTATCATACCATGCCATTGGTAATTAGTTAGCTTTATTTGTTATTTCTACTGAACCCTACACTTTTGCCTTGCTCGTTCAAAGCAGAATCACTGCGACTATATCGCAAACCCTAGTGATCCCAAGATTATACCACCCTACCCCATCTTAGCATTTCTACTAGTTTTACACAAACAGCCCGCCCTACACCAACCCATTAATTACTATATATTGCTTGGTATGACTCAAACTACCCACCTAAAAAGTGAGTCCTTAACATCTTATCCCTCACCAAATCAGAAAGAGAAACCATTATTATCTAATCTACCCCCCAAAAATAAACTATAATAAAAAACTGTATTCTTGTCGTGTAGTTAACAACACATTATCATATTATCCCATATCTTACCTGCCCAAAATGTTTCTCTTGGTGCGCCCGTGCCACCATATCGGTCTCTCTCCTTTTTGTGAGAACTTTGTTTTGTCCAACACTCAAAAACCCCCAGAAGTATTATTATACTCACCCCCCACCACCCCCATCCCCCCACTTATGCGACTCACACATCCCAAACCTTCCCACCCACAAGCACACTCAATACATGTCTCAGATTATCCCGCCCACTCCTTTTTGTAACAGTACTCCACGTATTGCTGGAGTGGACATACGGTCTTAGTCATTCAGTCTCTCCTCAGTTTTCCTTACTAACTCACCATACTTACTACGACGCTATTATACAACCCTTAGCTTTTGCAATGAATCAAATCCAGTGCTTCTATTCTATAGCAAATGTTACCCAATCCTCAATGCAAATGGAAATCCACTAATCACAACCCCATAATTGTGCA